TTTTTTTTTCACATATTTATAAATGAAAATCAGGAATTATAGTAAACTACTATACATGCATCCAGTTTCAGGTCTGTGTATCTGTTTGAGGGCACCTCAGAACAGACAGAAGCATGTGTTTTAGCTGCATTTACACAAAGTCCTTCCCACAAGGTTGTGCAGAGGTGTAGCTGTGTTTATTTGTGCTTTAGAACATAACCACAGTGAAACAATCCCAAAATAATATTTCACTTTGTTCTTGCTGATGGTGCCCTCTCTCTTCATTCGTTCTCTAGCTCGAATGGTGTAAAATGAGCTTAAGATTGCTGGAAGAAGCATTTCAGTTGAAGGAAGACATTATTTTATGTGCAATTGTGTGTGTGGCAGTATTTGAGTTATTGTCTAAGCTTTTACATTTCCCTGTGGGCCATGTAATTGTTTTTCTCATTGTTGTTTTTGCTCTGCTCACTGTTAATGTAAACATTTATTTGAAATTTACATCTGAATGATGATTTTTACATTGTATTTTTCTGCAGGAAGATTTCCAAGCCATGACCTATGGCTTCAAGATGGCCAATAATGTCACAGACCTGCGGGTGACAGGTGGAAATACTGTATTGTGATACTGTACTTAATTCATTTTGCTGTTTCATGTATACTGTGGACAACTGAAGCATTGCGAATTAATACTGGTGGTTTGGAGGAACAAACATAGCTGATGTCATCTCTCTCTCGTTCACCCTACCAGGTATGCTGAAGGATGTGGAGGATGAGTTACAGAGGAAAGTTAAAAGCACACGTAGTCGACAGGGTGAGCAGCGAGACCCGGATGTTGAGTTGGAGGTAAGTCAAATCATTCCTCCATGTCTGTGGAGTTGTTGCTGCGAATTTGTTTCTTGTTAAAGGCACTTTGGAAAGAATTTAGATGATCTGAAAGCTAAACACTAGTTGTTTCTGGTTCAGGTGGTGACAGGTTTAACATAAAATACATAGGACCACAAGTAGCAAATCAGATGACAGCACTAGTCTTTATTAATTAAGCCTGGTATTACCAGAATCTTGGTCTCTCCTCCTGAGTTTTTGCCCGTTACTTGTTTCCCTTTTATGTCTGTGGGAATGTGGGACTGAGATGACCTTTACAGACTCTGCTCTGGAATTCCCAGCTGTGTAATTCTAGCAATAATAGTGGAAGAATAAAATCTGACCGAAAAATGGACTTTGATGGTCAAAAAAAATCAGCCTGTATAATTTCTTGTCTTTTGGAACTTCAGACTAGTTAGAAAGTGTGTGTGTGTTAGTTTTGCATGTACTTCTGTGGCTGTTTATAGTTCCTCCATTGTTTTTGTTTTCAGCATCAGCAGTGCTTGGCACTTTTCAATAGAATCAAGTTTACTCGACTTCTGCTGACTGCACTGATCGCCTTTACCAAAAAAGAGGTAATATACATACAAAACCACACAATAACACGTGTCTTTTAAAATTGTTTTTTATGGAGCAGTGAAGAGGATCACATTAAAGTATATTGTGTGCTTACTAGGGATGAAATGGTTACAAGTGTCACGGTAAACCATGGTAAAACGTTCGACGGTTAGTATTACCACTTCAAATTTTAAATGTCATTAAAGCTGCAGTTGATTACCGCACTTTGAAAAACTCCTCTGCTGAAGGGTTAAACACTGTCCAGGATCAACTTAAGTTAGCTAGAGGTTCTCAGACACAAACACAGTATACAGCGTGGGTTTGTTTGGGTCAGTGAAAACATGGTGGAATGCAGTGACAAGACAGGCTGAGTGACAATACTTTGGAGAGTTTTCATCTATCTAAGAAGAAGTCCAAAGTGTGGGCATATTTTGGTTTTTACAAGATGTAGATGGTCACCCTGTCTGCATAACATGCAGAAAAAAATTGCTCTGAAAGGAGGTGACTCTTCAGATCTTCTGAGTCATCTTTGTGACCATCACCCTCTACTGTAAATTATCTTTTAGCTCAGTGCATGATGTGAGGACTTCGGAATGGGGCAAACCGCTTGTCATTAACATATCGGTGTTACTCAGTATTGTAAGAGCGCTTCTCATTGTTCTGCTGCTGTATGCATCATGTGTCTATTAGCCCAGTGCACACAATAACAGGTTACATACTGTAGTCACCCAACAACATATTTTGTTCATTTAAAGTCATACCATTACATCTCTAGTACTTACAGACCCTTATATATTAAAAGTTAAAACTTTTACTTTGTGTCTATTTGTGTTGTGTTTGTATCTTCATCAGACCAGCTCAGTGGGCGAGGCCCAGAAGCTTGTGGCTCAGGCAGCTGATCTCTTGTCAGCAATTCATTCCAGTATCCAGCATGGCATCCAATCACAGAATGACACCACTAAAGGAGGTAGCTCGCACACTATATGGGGCTCAAGGACAAGCACGCACACACACACACACAAACCAACATACTGCAAATGCATAGGATTCAGTTTGGAAAATTAGTTAGGCCAAATTAACAAAACAAACTATTACACATATGAAATTGCACACACGTTACACATTGTTGCTCTCCAGACATCCAGTTAAGCGGTCGTCATGGTGGCCTAGACAGTTGCCATAGTCCACACTAAATGTATCATACTTATTTTGATAAACTTCCACACACAGATCTAAAGAAACCTTGTAAATTTAGATGAGAAAGCCTTTTAGAGAAGATTACTTTATAATTACGAAATGTGACCTGCATTAACCTTTGTATTGTTTTATTTCCTGTATATGCTGCAGACCACCCCATCATGATGGGCTTTGAGCCCCTGGTCAACCAGAGACTGCTGCCACCGACCTTTCCTCGTTACGCCAAGATCATTAAGAGGGAGGACATGGTGGCCTACTTCAGCAAACTCATAGAACGCATCAAGACTGTCTGTGATGTGATCAACACCACCAACCTGCATGGCATACTAGTAAACACAGACATACACATAAAAAATATTTCCTAACCTTGAACGTATGAATTATGAAGACGCTCTGTTATTGACTTGACTCTTGTGTTTGTGATTTTGCCAGGATTTCTTCTGTGAGTTCAGTGAGCAGTCTCCCTGTGTCCTCTCCAGATCCCTACTTCAAGTGAGTTCATGGTTGTCATTCTGATCCATGCACCTAAGGGGTAGTCCATGTTTGCTCAGTAACACCTATGGACCTTGAAATTTGTTATAAGTTATGTTGTTGTAGTTGATATGTATATGCAACAAATTATAAAACAATTTTAACAGTTCAGAAAAGTGTTTCAGACAAGCTCATACAATAAGAAGACAATTTAAAACCCAACAAGTGAGGAGATCGTTCTTTCGCCATGTATGCCCCCAGGCTCTGGAATGCCTTGCCCCCTGAGGTTCGATCCATAACGGAGTTAATGGTTTTTAAGTCTAAATTAAAGGCACATTTATTCAGACTAGCTTTTGGCATCTAATATTTAGCAGCGATGCTATACAGGCCCTACAGGCCTTCCTGATTTTATATTTCGTAATCTTACTCTCTCTGTATTTTGACTCATTTTTATTCTACAGGAGTGGTATAGTTCTTACAGATCGTTGTTTTTAAATTTGCAATGTTAACTTTTGTTTCTTTATGTATTTTGGCATGCTCTGTTTTATCTCTTTGAGAGATAAAACAGCCACTTTGAGCTCCCTTCGGTGTTGTAAAGCGCTATATAAACAAATAAATTATTATTATTATAACAAAACATATTCTTTTCTTTAAATTCAGACAACGTTCCTGATAGATAATAAGAAAGCGTTTGGCACCCACCTGATGCAGGACATGATTAAAGACGCCCTCAGATACTTTGTCAGCCCACCAGTTCTTTCCTACAAGTAAGTGTGGCATTGGTTAAATGATTAAACCCCTCAACATCTGAATCATTTAGGGCTAATAAAGTTAATGGTTTATTTGGGTTAACCAAATCAAACACCTGTTTTTTGTTTTTAACCCTGAGTGAGTGTATATTGTCTTCAGCTGATTTGTCTTGAGCTTATTGTGGGTCGGCATGTGTCTTTGCACCTCCAGGTGTTGTCTTTTTAACAACCACCAGGCCAAGGATTACATTGACTCCTTTGTTACACACTGTTCCAGGGTAGGTTAATCTTTACTGTTCAAAGTCTGTACATCTTGTCCATTTTAATACCTCAATTGTTCACTGCATTCATCATAGGTTTCCTCCACTCTTAAATTAGAAGTCAATAGATTAGGAGGACAGATTTGAAACTGCTGCATCTAAAGTGAGTTAGTGGGAGCTGTCTAGTGATAAGGATCAATTTTGCTCTAATGATGAATCAGAATGTTGGTGTAACATTGAAAGAATGGACTAAACTCTCATCACCCATTTCCATGAATAGGCAAGTGGTGAAGCTGTGGTGTTTATGTGTGTGTATCTTGTCAATTTTCTCCACAGCCATTCTGCAGTCTGATTCAGATTCACGGACACAATCGAGCTCGGCAGAGGGACAAACTGGGTCACATTCTGGAAGAGTTTGCCACACTGCAGGATGAGGTGAACTACAGCTGATTTATCTTAAAATATTTAAACAGAGCACCACTGTTTTCACCCATTCCGAGGACAACAGGGATTCTCTAATTTATAAACTTACTACTAAAGTCTTCTTTTGTGCTCTCCAGGCAGAGAAGGTGGATGCAGCGCTGCATAGCCTCTTGATGAAACTTGAACCTCAGCGACAGCATCTAGCCTGTCTTGGCACTTGGATCCTCTACCATAACCTGAGAATCATGATCCAGTACCTGCTGAGTGGTTTTGAACTGGAGCTTTACAGTATGCATGAGTACTACTACATCTACTGGTAAGAGCTGGTAGGCAGAGACTCACCTGCAACAACATGCACAGGTGCAGCTTTGTTGAAATGAGTATGTTTGTTTTTGACTGTAGGTACCTGTCAGAGTTCCTTTATGCATGGCTAATGTCCACTTTGAGCAGAGCTGACTCCTCTCAGATGGCAGAGGAGAGAATTCTGGAGGAGCAGCTGAAGGGACGCAGCAGTAAAAAGACTAAGAAGAAGAAGAAAGGTGCACCTCGTTGCCTTGTTCTTACCTGCAGTGGATTCTCTTTGTGTGACCACAGCCCAAGGCTGCTCAGGAATGCTTCTTTTCTGTATGGAAGTGGTATTTTACTTTATATGAGCAAGCAGATATTGATGATATGCTTGGAATTCCTTTGCAGTTCGCCCTCTCAGCAAGGAAATCACCATGAGTCAAGCATACCAGAACATGTGTGCCGGCATGTACAAGGTAGGAAGGATATCAGTTAATACAGATGCACAGTGACGCCACTTCTGGACACACTGTACACTCTGTTTCTCCCTCTTCAGACTATGGTAGCTTTGGATATGGACGGGAAGGTGCGAAAGCCTCAGTTTGAGCTGGACAGCGAGCAGGTTCGCTATGAGCACCGCTTCGCCCCCTTCAACAGTGTGGTCACCCCTCCACCTGTGCACTACATCCAGTTCAAGGTACTGTTTTGTGGGTGGAATTCATCTAGTAGGCCCTCCGTTCCCTTTCCATTTGGTCAATTATTCTTGTTCTCTCTTCTCCGCACTCCCATTTTCTCTCTTTTTCTGCTCTTTCTAACTCTGCTCCTCTTCTTTCACTCCAGGAGATGTCTGATCTGAAAAAGTACAACCCTCCTCCAGGTTCTGCTGACCTGTACCTAGCAGCTAGCAAACACTTTCAGCAGGCCAAGCTCATCCTAGAAAATGTGCCCAGCCCAGACCCTGAGGTCAGGCAATTAAACTAATGTAAAACAAATGCATGCTCTTACAACTAACGATTTTTCTTTGCAATGGAATCCCCAGATCCTTGAACAGAAATGTAGTTGTTGTCAGAAGCTATTCATGAAATACTTTCTCACCTAGACCTGTGCTACTTCTTGGTTAATTAATGACAATAACAATGAGTTTTGAAATTATATTGTAGCAGTTTCATTTTTTATAGGGCCACCATAGTGTTCCGCTTTATTGCATAAACCCTAGATAAATGTTTTGTTGACATGTTAATTCTTAATATTTCCATTGTTCTTGACTATCATTAACCAGTTATTAATGATTTCTAACAGGTGAACCGTATACTGAAGGTGGCCAAGCCTAATATTGTAGTTATGAAGCTCCTGGCTGGAGGGCACAAAAAGGAGACTAAGGTAACACAATGCACGCCTTGCCTATCATTTTGTTCTTTGTATTGTATACCTTTAGTACAAATTAGCAACTTATATGTAGATGTTGTATTTAGCGACCACACAAAGAAAAAGATTTGAGTTCTAATGTGGTTAATATTTTATAAAGTGGTTAATGTGTAATATGTTGGTGTTTAATCATCAGGCGTGGTGACAGGTGTTTCTCAATGTGGTGTCTTTTACAACAGCTGATATGAAAAGGTGTTGTTGGAGTAAAATACCAAGTTTCTGCATCCCCAGGTACTCCCTGAGTTTGACTTCTCAGCTCACAAGTATTTCCCTGTGGTCAAGATCATCTGATTCTGCACTGCACCACAGGATGAAAGTCTGTGCATCAGCTTTCAAAGGCTGTACCTTCATCTGAAGCAGTGTGCAGTGGCCCTCATCCAGTTCATGTCTGAACAGTGTGTGATCACTGTGCATCTGTAAAGGAGTGTTTGACACACCCACTTTTTTTCCAGTTGACTAGTAGAAAACCAAGAGAACTCACATCTGGATTCAAATGAGTGAAAATGTCCACATCTGCACCTGTGAAAGTGTGTGTGTGTGTGTGTCCACATGCACAAGTCAAGACACAAGTGGAGGTGCTGTTGTGCAAAGAGCCATTTTTTATTTTTTTGGGGGGGGCGGTAAGCCACTTACAGAACAGTCCAGTAAAGAATGCTGTAAAAAATAATGGGTGCATATCATTAAATCATATTATGACACCATTCTGTGCATCTGTATTTATCTGAACAATAAAATACTTGTAAAGACTAAAACAAAATAATACACCTCTCTGGTGTTGTATTAATATTGTAATTTAATTCCTTAATGGAAAGTAATTTCATGTTTCACTGTTTTAAGAAAATTCATTTAGACCATCCTACATGGCAATCAAGCTTTGAAAAGCTTAAGTTCTCTAGATATGGGTATTTTTGTATGGACAAGGAGATTTATCTGAGAATTACTGTTTAAGTGTTTATTGTGACGTATTTTAGCAATTAGACAGTTACAGTTAGACAATTCTGGTGGTCAGTAGTCAATAGCATTGTTAGTTTACCATCCATGAATGAAGTGGTATATGTCCTGTATACCGCATTTGCCTAAAACTAACTGGCACTGTGCTATCGTAACACAGGTCATCTTGCTACTGTGCACTTTATAAAGAGAGCATATGACCAGAAATTGAAAATAGTCCATGTCTTTTGTAAATTAAGTATTTGACTTTCATATATAAATCAAATCAAATTTTATTAGTATAGCACCAAATCACAACAAAAGTCATCTCAGGACACTTTACAAAGTATGGTCTAGGCCTTACTGTTATCATCATTATGCATTTAAACTCCCTTTAACAGAAGAAACCTCCGACAGACCCCAGCTCTTGGTGGGCGGCCTTCTGCCTCAACCGGTTGGGGTGAGTGGATAGAGGAGAGAGAAAAGAAGAAAAGCAACAAGACACAACAAAGAATCAAACACTGGTCAGGTTGATGTGGCCAGTGACTGCTCATCATAAACATAGAGCTCCAGGGCCAGGGCAACCTGCAGAAAAGTACAGGGAGAGAGAGGGGACACACTATGGGAGAGAGGAGACACAAAGATAGTGATGGTGGCATATAGAATCATGAAGAGAGAGGAGAGGAGAGGGGAGAGAAACTCAGAGCATCATGGGGCCCCCCAGCAGCCTAGGCCTATAGCAGCATAACTAAGGGAAGGCTCAGGGTCACCTGATCCAGCCCTAACTATAAGCTTTATCAAAAAGGAACGTCTTAAGTCTAATCTTAAAGGTAGAGAGGGTGTCCGCCTCCCGAACTGAGACTGGGAGTTGGTTCCATAGGAGAGGAGCTTGATAGCTAAAGGCTCTGCCTCCCATTCTATTTTTGTGGACTCTAGGAACCACAAGTAAACCTGCACTCTGAGAGCAAAGTGCTCTGTTAGGATGATAAGGCTCTACAATGGAGCCTTGTCATTTAGGGCTTTGTATGTTAGGAGAAGGATTTTAAATTCTATTCTGAATTTTACAGGGAGCCAGTGGAGAGAAGCTAATATCGGAGAGATATGATCTCTCTTGCTAGTTCCTGTCAGTACTCTGGCTGCAGCATTTTGGATTAACTGGAGGCTTTTTAGGGAACTATTGGGACATCCTGATAGTAAAGAGTTACAGTAGTCCAGCCTGGAAGTAACAAATGCATGGACCAGTTTTTCAGCATCACTTTGAGACAGGATGCTCCTGATTTTGGCA